CAGAATTCCAGATGAACTTAGCATTTTTTGTAAGTAATCTTGTCAAAGGATATACTTTAGTTGAGTAGTTTTGTATAAATTTGCTGTAGTACGTGGCCAAGCCTAAAAATGTCTTCAATTCACTTACATTTGTAGGTCTTCTAGCATTTTGAATCGCTACAGTTTTCTCAGGACTTTTGTGTAGACCTTTTTCATCAATAATGTGCCCGAGGTATTTGATACTTTTTTCAAAAAACTTACATTTGTCTCCATTCAAATGTAAGTTGTGCTTCTGTAGAACTTCTAATACCTTCTCTAATCTCAGAAGAGTTTCTTCGTAAGTTGACCCCTGGACTAAAATGTCGTCGAAAAAACATTGTACGCCATCCATACCTTGTAGTAAGGAATCCATGAATTTTTGCCACAGGGAAGGAGCAACCTTAACCCCAAACATCAGTCTATTTACTTTGAACAACCCTTTATGAGTACTTAGTGTTTGCATTTTGCTACTCTCTTCATCCATTTTCATATGTAAATAAGCATTGCTTATATCAAGAGAACAGAAGTATTTGCCTCCACTCATTGTAGAAAAAATGTCTTCAATCCTCGGAATTGGGTATTTCTCGTCTTTCACGACTTTGTTCAAAGTAACTTTAAAATCAGCGCAGATACGAATGTCACCATTGGGTTTTATGACAGGCACAATAGGCGTTCCCCATTCCGAGTTGTCTACCTTGGTGATAATCTTTTGGGTTTCCAGACAGCTGAGTTCATTTTCAACTTTTGTCCTTATGGCATATGGAACCTGTCTAGCCCTTATGTATATAGGTCTTGAGTTGTCATTCAAGTTAAGTTTTGCTTCAAAGTTTGGAATACACCCTATGTTTTTGTCAAATAAACCTTCATATTTTGCAAGTAATGAGTCCAGCTCCGGCTTCCTTGTTTCATTCATGTGTATAGATTTTATTTCTCCCCAGTCTAGTTTTATTTCTCTCATCCATTCACGCCCAAAAATCCTATCGACATGTTGATTAATGACAAAGATTTTTCCCATGAAACACTGTCCCTTATAGTCACATTTTACGTATGTTACCCCCTTAGGTTTTATGATCTCACCTGTGTAGGTGCGCAGCTCTACACCAGTCTTGTAAAGTCTTTTGGAAGGAATTAGTCTTTTGTAGTCTTCATATGAAATCGATGTAAGTGATGCTCCAGTATCCAACTCAAAAGTAACGTTTTTACCTTCCAATTTTATCTCAATGTGAAATTTGTCATCTCTCTTTTTGTCAGACAGTAAATTAATTTCATGGATATTGTCTTCAGAAATGTCATTATTTTCAGTGTAATGAACTTGCCCTTTGCTGTTTTTATGTTTACTAAGGCATACTCTTGAAATGTGTCCGATCTTTCCACAGGTGTTACAGGTTTCATCAATCATTGGACAAACATTCGCTCTATGGTATATATTCCCACATCGGTAGCATTTTCCTTTCAGTGACTCAAAATCTGTTACACGAAATTTATTACCAGTACTTGTATAAGATCCTGTGTTGTATGATTTTGTTCTAGGTCTGTGAATTTGTTCATTGGATGTAATATTATTTCTAGCTTTAAACTTTACTTGATTTATGTCTACGTTTCCACTCTTTTGACTTATCAAAGTACTTTCAAATTTTGAAAGTTCCATCGTAGTAGCTGTGTTAAGAATTTCTACAAATTGTTTGTGGTCACATTTTTGTAAAAGCTGAGTTTTAATGTCTTTGTCATTAAGTCCACGTATGAGTTGCAGTCGTAAAAGCATGTCTAATACAGATTTTCCACAAGCTTCGCAATTGAATTTGCAATTAGTTGACAACCTTTTTAGTTCTGTAGTAAAGTTTGAAATAGATTCTCCTTCTTCCTGTATTCGACTAATAAATGTGTGTTGTAAAGCCAAAATACTTTTTTTAGGATCTAGAAAGTTGTCAAGCAAGGTCACAAGCTCCCCATACTCTTTATTTATAGGATTGTCTGGTGTACATAGGTCGTATAGTTTCTGATGTAGAAGAGGTGTCAAGGCATGTAAAAGTGTGAAAGTTTTTAACTTAGGATCATTTATACCTTTTAAAGTCATAAAAACCTCCAGTCTTCTGGCAAAATTAGAAAAGTTTTCCCTTTCATCGTAAGGAGTAAAGCTCAAATTTGAAGTAGGAAGAACTGGAATCGGTGTATTAGCTTGTAGATTTTCAGTGGTGCAACTATTTTGATTGGGAATAGAGCTATGTTGAATACTTGGCATATGAAGTAATTGGGCATCCATTAATCTTGCTTTTGTATCAATCAGCATGTTTTCAATACTTTCCCTGTAAGTTAGCTCGTTTTCTAAATCTTCTTCTTCTGTATAGAAGTCAATCTTGTCTTGAATTAGGTCATACTTTGATTTAATCTCAGCTAACAAATCAAGTCTAGTTTGGATTTCATTGATAGAAAATGATCCTTTGTCCACATACTTCTTTACATTTCCAAGCTGAAACTTGACTGTTCTTCGCAATGATTTCAATTTCCTAACTTTATTTACATCTTCTGCTATTTTTTCTAAATCTTCCATTATTCTCGTCGCCATTGATAGATATTTTAGTAATGTAACATTTTAATGCAGTAACTCAAGTTTCTTTTTTTAATCACAATCATCATATAAACAATAACAACTGAACAGAACATATGTAAATTAACAAATATAGTATAAGCCAGTACATTTGGAATGGACACATCAAATTTCTTGTTTACTTTGTGTGTTATTCTATTAATTTAAGTGTTTTGTTCTATTTCCTCCTGGTCCCTTGCAAATTGTATTATCAATGCTAAATAATTGTGGTCAATTCAAATTATATTTTTGATTATTCAAATCTACACAAAAAGACAAAAGTCAAACCACGCAAGGAAAAAACCTGCTATTGTAATCCCCATACCCAGCCATTTGGGAAGTGGTGAAAGTCTAGTCTAAATATAGCTCAAAGGTCTCACCCTTCCCTTCCCCCCCTTCCAACCCCCTACTCAATGTTACTATTCCGCTCATTTCGAGGTCATTGCACAACGCCTGCCTCCCTTCTATTGTTTTGCCTTTATAGTGTTTCTATTCTGACTTTTATAAACATAAATTTATTGCTTACGTAACAGTTCAGTAGTGAAATTTTATATTGTGAAACACTAGACCTACTTTAAAACAAAATCACTACCGATCATGTCATTCTATTCTGTGTCAAGTCAGTATACCATTGCCAGTCAGTCGCCGGCGACTGCTTTGAGTTGACCTATTCTGTCGTGCCAGCTATAAAAATAGGTTAGGACAACTACCTCTTGCTTATTTCTATATTTGTATGACTGTAAAATCTACAGTAATACAAATTATCCATCATTTTATGTAAACACAAGTTACATTTCAACAAATATTGATCTTACAATTAAAGAAACCAATTCAAACTAACACAACACTAGCTGGTTTGGATTTAAGTAGGTACAGTACCAAACTAGCGAGTTCAAAGATAAGCTCGAGTTTCAAGGCCGTACTCTACTCGAACTCAAAATCTCGAATACTCGCCCATTTAATGTTAATAGTATAAATTAGGGATGGTCAAGTTTGAAATTTCGGGAAATTTTAAATCTCGTTACACAAGATGAGATTTCTTTTTGGCCGAGATTTTTATCAAGACGAGAATAAAAAATAAAAAAACAATAAAAACGCCTACAGAAAGTCAATGCAATACCCGCAATACAGGAGCGTGTTGTAGTTGCGTTTCCTTTGCGAAGGCGTTCTTATTGAATTAATTCTTTAAATGTAAATATTGCTTTAATTATTTTAATAATATTACTTTAATAACATTTGAGAAGTTTTGTTAAGTGTAAGCAGTGTGAGGAATGTTTTGTTACTATAAAAAGTCAAAACAAGTACCAACTATTTTATAAAAATTAATATTGCTTTTATTTTATGATTTATTTTATTTTAGGATAAGTTTAACTCTATCCTAACTGATATCACTATGTTTCCTAATCGTAGGCATTTTTAATAACTTAGGCGTGATTAATAAAAAAATGTTATGTTTTTTAATAAAAGATTGTAAATATTGCCTATTATCATTATTTTTTTATTTAAACAGTCATCCAACAATGTTACAAAATCAGGTAAAAATTTTGAGTGTGCATTTCCCGTTGTGTATGAGAAGGGAAATCCCGTCTCAAAATTTTATGAGAAATAAAAAATCTCGTCTCGTCTCGTCTCGAACTAAAAATCCAATCTCGTCCATCCCTAGTATAAATAAAATCGGATCCATTAAAACCGGATCCAGCCTAAGATCCGATTGTAGTAGTAAACACTGATTATCAACTTTTTTGGTTCATGCTGATTTAAGAATGAACCAAAAGTATTGAAAGCCAACAAATATAAATGTGAAAACTAAGTAACAATACTACCTGTACATCATAAAATAAACTCTATTTTATTTAATACAGGTCAATAATAATAAACTTAACGATTGCTTTATTGATATAGGCTTATTCTAATTGTTAGTGAAGGGTGAATTTCCTTAGGCAAACCATAAAATTAGCAGTGTCCATTAATGAGGTTAGGTCAGCAACTATCCTCTTGTTCATAATTTTATTTAGTACATTTTTTACTTTAACTTTTTTAAGGTAAAGGATCCATTACAGAAACACATGTTGTATTTAATTTTTGAAGAAAATTATGCCATGCTGCATCGAATCGAATCGCATTGATTTGAATCAAAATTCTTTGAATCGCATCGATGCATCGAATCGAAAAAAATATGCTGCATCGCACACCCCTAAAATTGTTAAACACAATTATTTAATTTTATTACTAGGCATGAAGGCAAATTGTTTCACATCAACTGACTCTTTTGAATCATACTGAGACTGATTTAAATAGTTACAACTGTCAATTAATTTTTTTGTTCTTTAATTGGCAAAAAAGTATAATAAAAATGCGAGAGCCTTTAAAATTAATCCCTCAGATGTAAGGCTCATACCTCCACTTGATGGCGTCCTCTATAGAGTTGAAACTGTGAGGTCGGCCACGCAAGAAGCTCTGCATGCTTGCCAATGCACTCAACGCTGTACCCTCAACCACATCTATCACCGCCACTCCTGAGAAATATCGAACATCAGTATAAAAATTAAAAACTGTTGAGATGAAAAATAAGTTTGTATATTTTAGATAGACTTATTATTAAATCATATTAGATCAAGTACAGCCTACTAAGTACCCTATAATTAGCCTACAGTATTTAAAGGGCCCCGGAAACATATTCATTATATGAAAGTTTTTCTTAAAATGAGGTTGTTATTAAAAGGAAGACTTGGCTGATGTTTCTAACATATTATCGTTACCAAGCCCTCAATATCACTTACTCTGTACACAAAGCTTGGCGGTTTTTAGGTGAAGAAATCCATCCCCTGCACTTTATCCTACCTTTTAACACGTTCAGTGCTGAATACAACAATTGATGTAGTCGCGAAACGAGCGCTCCTATCGGCCTACATCGATTGATAAAGTTGCGCAACCCCCACTACATTAGTTCAGTATGAGCTCAGCCATTGCCGGGGAACGTTAAAATTGTTACTAGCCTGTAGCTTAGAATGTGAGATTTATTTTGGTGTAGGTTGCTACTAAAATTTCCTGTAAAATCCCGTCTGACAATGCTTTTGTCCCGGTTTCAGGGATTTTCTCTCTTCAAGCCCCATTGCAAAGCCACTGACTACTGATCCAGGCAGTGCTGCTACCTTTGAGTGTTTTAGGGAACTACGTACAATCTCGGGGTAACGTAGTACAATCGAAGCTGCTCTTTTGTTATTCGTCAGATTGAAATATTTGAATGCCAATTGCGTTCGCTGTTACAATGCCGCACCAGGGCTTCGCCGCCATTGGCGAGGGCCTGTTTGAATGCCTGCTGCACAGAACGTCTTAATCAATAGCTCAACACTGAGGTTTGCCAAAACGTCGTTCAGCTGCAACATAGGCCTATACACTAAGCATGATGAAATGAAATGAAATGAAATGAATGAATGAAATCAACTGCATTATCAACTGTGATGGTTTGTTCTAAAGTGCTCTATTTTATTTATGAAATATTGTGTTATTCAGCTTTTAAAAGTAGTTTAAAGTAAGTAATAATGGTACAATAACAGTTTTTACAAGTTTTTTCTTTATAACCATTTCAAGAAGACAGTAAATAGACTTAATAATATCAGAAATAGTTCTACTTACTAATTTGATGCAAATTGCCACATGTTTTCAGCCATAGTTTCAAACCACTTTTATTACTAAATTTAAAGCATTCACAAGAAGCCAAGCATTTTATATCACTGCAAATTATATTTGGAATCATAATTAAAACAGTTTGATTATTAAATTATTTATCAAAGATCACAAAAACTTATATAATTGGCACTATTTTTATTGGGTTCTAACTTCCTGTGTATCAATCAATCTGGAACATGATCTGGACAGGTTAGGCACTGGTGTCTAAACAATACAGACTTACGTCAGTTGCTGAACCCTGCCCTCACTGACCACAGACAACCTACTCCTTATCAATCAAGGACTGCTCACAAGACCTGCTGTCAGTTTATCAGCTGTCTGTTTATTTTGCACCATTTAAGAGCTACAATCACTGGATATTAAATTATTTTCTGTTGATGTGAATTAATATTTTCAATTAAAAGTAGACAGTATTATTATTATTTATTATTTTCAATTATTTAAAAATGATTCCTTCAAATATAAATGATGTACCAAAGGGCTGGCAAAGGAAAGAAATTATTAGGAAAACTGGTCTAAGTAAAGGGAGAATTGACGTACATATTACATCCCCAAGAGGAAAGATTTTCAGATCAAAAAAGGAACTTTCTAAATACATCACTGAAAACAAGATACCCCATAATATTGACAATTTTAATTTCTCAGTAAGAAGACCTGTTATTGTAGGATGTTTGGACGAAACTGTTGTAAATAATGAAATTAATTTAAGCAATGTTAATGATGAAAACGAGCAAAAGCCATATAGTCCTTCTCATATAACGGTTTGTGATGGTAATTCCAGTTTAGGCACTTCTCTAAGTAACACCACATCGACAATATCATTACACTCAGATTCTTACAAGAGTGATGTAGGCACATCTAATGAAAAAGGTTCAGTTGCTTCTGAGATTGTTTCATCAAAGAATAAACTGAAGATACAGGAGGAGTTACTTGGGAAAAACTGGATCTCAGATGACTCTCTTTTACCTTATTTAAATATCCTAAATGAAAGATATCTTCAGAACAAGAACTGTCTGGCATTAAATCCTCTCATAGTCAGTGGAGTCAAAAATTGCTTGGATTTTGGCTATTTATTAGATCCTTTTGACATTAAAAGCAAAAATGTCCTTATCATGGCAGTAAATGATTCAGACCAAATATCCACAAATGAAAACACCACCGCCGGAACTCACTGGAGCCTTCTTGTGTACAGTAAAGAAAGCAACAATTTTCTTTATTTTGATTCAAGTAATAACTACAACTTAAATCCAGCTAAAACTGTGGCTCGTAAAATATCAGACTATTTAGGAGGAAATGCTTTGAGCGCTGATTTCATTGAACTAAAGGGACCTCAACAGCCCAATTCATACGACTGTGGTGTGTGTGTATGCTGGCTGATTGAGGCAATCGTCTTTGATATTATAACTAAGGGTAGCATCAACCTAGATTTTCTGCAGCATGTAGCACTTGATGAAGCCGATTTAGTTTGTAAGAGGTCACATCTGGCCTATGTGTTGAGCAATCACTGGGATTTGAGCAACAGTTTTATAACAACACTAATGCTAAATAAGGACTATAAATATCCTAAAGATAGGGATCAGAAGGCAGAAGGTGAAAAACACAATGAAAATGATGACATCTTGAGAAAAACCCTTGATATAAGAAATACAACTCCCTCCATAGCAAACAATAGTATTTGGACAACAGTTACCTCAAAGGGCAGTAGAAATAACACAGCACAAGCAAGAAGTAAAAATCCAGTAGGAATAAACATTACAACAACAAATCAATTTGAATGTCTAAAAAGTCACCCTAATGAATCTCATATCACTTGTTCATCTACAGTTTCAGTCAATAGTAAAAGTCTTAGCATACATAAAAAAAGTAAAAGAAACAAATTAAACATTAAAACTAGGTCTATAAATGGTAATAAACAGCACCGTGTGACTATTCTGGCTAATAGTCAGGGTAGGGATCTTTCCACCAACATGGCCAGTATCATCGATAACTCATTTGATGTGTTTGGACACGTAATACCAGGAGCACCTTTGGAACACGTGGTAAAAACTGCCTCTGATAGCACACTCCTAAAATCTTATACTGAGAATGACTGGGTCCTCTTGATAGGCGGCTCAAACAACATCAAATTAAATCATACCATGAAAGACCTTGATCAAATATCTGATATGATAATCAATGCTCTTGAGAGTCAATTAGCATGTTTAAAAAACACAAATTTGGTGATTGCAACCATACCATATCGCTATGACTTAAAAAATGATAAAGAACAACACAAACTTATATGGGAGATAAATAACAAAATAAGATCTTTGGTTTATAACAATTCTAATACCTACCTTTTGGACTTGCACCTATTGGAAAGATCACATCATAATGAACACAGATACCACATTAATAAGATAGGTAAAAGATTTATTTCTAACATCATGCGCGGTATCTTTGCAAGTAAATACCTGAGCTCTGCCTTGAAAAAAACACCAATTACCACAGACAAATCAATAATTGTTTCTGAGCAGAACATGTCAAGTGTTATGGAAAATAGGTATAATGATGAAAAAGTAGCTTTTGCCCACACTATATCCGGAGACTTTGGTCATGAGAGGCATATGTCTGCAGGTGTGGCAGCTAAGTTTGGGAAAAGATTTGGTAAACCTTCTGTCTGGGATTGTGTTTCTAGTCATCTTGCATACCAAAAAATAAAAAAAGGAGCAGCTGTTTACAGCTTGATTACAAAGTTACATTATAATGGCAAACCAAAAATTATCGACTACAAGAAGGCTTTCCAGCAACTTACAATAGATTTTAAGAAAAGGAATTTCTGTCACCTTGTTTGTTCACCAATGGGATGTGTTAGGGACAATATTCATGTTGAAACCTTTGTAAAAAATATTGTTAAGTTCCAAAGGCAGACAAATGCAACAGTGAATATTGTAATATATGATGAACAGACAAGACGAATTTTAAGAAATGGATTGGATCATAATCGCTTTAAAATAAAACTGGAAAAGACTTTGGAAAAAGAAATTTGTCAAGTTTTACCAAAAGGTCAACCTGCACCACCACTCTCTTCAGCTACTCATCTTTCACCTGACAGACATGCTCCACCTGATGTTGATGTTTCGATGATGTCAGGCTCATCACCCTGCAGTGGAATGCCTAACCAACCACCTAACGTCGAGAGTTCACCTCAACCACAGCCGATGACACATGACAACCCTACCATCAGCATCAGCAGCCCACCAACGGTTCCAGGGCATCTTCTTTTTAGTGAAGTGCTCAAGATACCAGAAAGTGTTTTTAAAAAGCAGAGCAGTGAAAGTGTAAATATTGAAACCAGTGAAATTATTGTAAATAGTAATAATAGTTTTTTTATAAATAATGCTAGTACTCTATCCAATGTGAAAAAGATGAATTTTTTAAACAAATTAAATAATTCTGACTGCCCTGAGTTCATAAACAATGTTAAGGGTCAGAATGCACCTCTTAGATGTGATATAATAAATAATAGAAATATAATTAGTTTTAATGAAATAGATTCTATAGATTTAACACATGATTCATCTTTTTCACAAAACAAAACTGTTCAACCTAATGTTAATTCAAGCTTAAGCCTCTTAAAGGATGATAATTATTGTTTTATTTGTAAGTGTTCCCATTATGATATATATGAGAAAAGTGAACAGTGGGAAAGATGTACAGGTTTTTGTGAAGTAAGCAATAAAAATAATGTAGTTTGGATGATGCATTTAAACATACAAGGAGGGTTTACTAAAAAATGCCATGAACTTGAGATATTGTTGCAAGATTCAAATGTGGACATAATTTGTCTTAATGAACATTGTCTAGCAGAAAATCAAATTAATCTTTTATCAAGTCTTAATAATTACATTGTTGGGGCCTACTTTTGTAGGGGCGTAACTGCAAGGGGGGGCTCGTGTATTCTTCTGAAACGTGGTTATGTTTTTAAAGAAAGGACAGATTTTTATATTTATAATGAGGAACATGTTTTTGAAGTTTGCTGCATTGAATTACCCTCTTTGAATGCTATTGTAATTTCAATCTACAGAACACCTTATGATAATAATTTTAAAACTTTCATGGAGAAACTAGAGTTACTTTTAACCAAGCTGCAAACTTACTTTAAAACTCACCAGATCTACATTGCAGCGGATTTCAATGTTGATATTTTAAGAACCTGTAACTTACCCAACTATAGAAATTTGTTTTTAATTTAATTAGTATGTATGGTTTTAATGCAAACTTTTGTTCTCCGACTAGGATTACTCAAAATTCAGTCACGTGTATTGATAACATTTTAACTAGTGATTTTTTAGTATTGAATTCCCAAATTAGGAGATCCAAAATGAATATCGAATTAGGTGTCTCAGACCATAGGGCACTTTTTATAGATATTTCAAATAGTAATGCCAAACTGCATAAAAGAATAAGTAAGAAGAGATTATTTTCAAATAAAAATAAGTTAATGTTCTACAAATGCATTTCTGAAACTCACTGGAACATAAAGCCATCTCAGGATGCACAGACAAATTTCAATTGTTTCTTCAATCAATTGTTGGTTCATTTTGATCACTGCTTTCCACCAAAATTTTTTTCTAGTAGGTTGCATAAGAATACAAGTAAAGGCTGGGTGACTAAAGGTATCATTGTATCAAGTAAACGAAAAAGAGAATTATGTGTAATTTCTAAAACTAACAAGGATGTGAATTTTCAAAACTATTACAGAAATTACAGAAAAATATTTAAAGCTGTTTGTGATAGAGCCCGTAAAATGTTGAACTGTAAGGTAATAACCACAGCTGAAAACAGGAGCCAAGCAGTGTGGACTGTTGTCAAGTCTGAACTTGGTGTCTTGAGATCTAAAGATATGGACTTTCCTGATTTGTGTGTCAGAGATAAGCTGATAACTCATGGTCAGGCTATTTCCAACTTTCTCAATGTAAAGTTTGCAAACACCTCTAAGGATATTAATTGCATACCTTGTTTGGATACTGCATCCAAGTTAGTAAATAATTTTATGATTAATCAAAGAATTAATTTCAAATTCAGACATGTATCTGTATCAGAAATTAAAACTACGATAAAAAAATTAAAAAATAAAAAATCTGTAGGATGGGATGGGATTTCAGTTGAAATAATAAAAAATATTATGAACTTTATAGCGGAGCCACTGTGTCTGATTTTAAATCAATGTTTTGATGAAGGAATTTTTCCATACCAATTAAAAAATGCTGAACTGAAACCACTTTTCAAAAAAGGTTCAGTAGAAAACCCAGAAAACTATCGTCCGGTGTCAATTTTACCATCTCTATCTAAAATTTTTGAAAAAATAGCATATGAACAAATGTACTCTTTTTTGAAAACAATGATCTGTTTACAGATAATCAATTTGGCTTTAGATTAGAAAAAAACACAATATCAGCTGTCTCTGATTTCATAAATCGAGTGTCGGAGGGCTTGGATGGATCTCAGAGTACTGCAGCAGTGTTCTGCGATCTTTCCAAGGCGTTCGATTGTGTGAACCATAATGTATTAAGCAATAAACTTAAATATTATAACTTCTCTGATCTGGCGCTGTCTTGGATACAATCTTATTTAAGAAACAGGCAACAAAGAACTGTCATTAAGAAAAATGGTAGAAATTTCATTTCAAAATGGCAAACCATCAATTGTGGTGTACCCCAGGGATCAATTTTAGGTCCCTTGTTATTTTTAATATTCATTAACGATGTACCTAACAATGTATCATCAAACCTAATATTATATGCTGATGACACTACAGCCATAGTAAAAGCAAAAGATGTACATACTCTTAGATTAGAACTTGATCAATCAATTGTAGACTTAACTAACTGGTTTGCGGCAAATGGTTTAAAACTTAATAATGCTAAAACACATATTATGCAATTCCAAACACTACAAAATAAGCAAAACATAATTTTTGAATTACCGTACAGAAATGATATTTTAGCTTTTGTTGAACAAACTAAATTTTTAGGCATAAATATTGATAAAAATTTGACATGGAAACTTCACATTGAAATACTAGCTAAAAGATTACATACAGCTTGTTTCCAGATGTATGTTTTAAGAAACATAATTGATTCTAAAACAAAACTGATAGTTTATTATGCCATATTTTTTTTCCATTATGCAATATGGTATTGAGTTATGGGGCTCAACATCATATGCCTCAACGATTTTTAAGATACAAAAGAAGTTTTTAAGAATCTTATCATTTACACACAAAAAAAAGCCATGTAAACCGCTTTTTGAAACATATGGAATTTTAACAATGCCTTCACTTTACATTTATAAAATTCTTGTATACTTTAAGAGTAATCCACAATTATTTATAAAAAATCAATTTATTCATCACTACCCAACACGTTCAAAAAATAATTTGCAGTATCCAAGACATCGGCTATGTGTTTACGAAAGATCACCGTACTATATGAGTCTGAGGCTTTACAACGGTCTACCTGCTCATTTTAAAAACATCAATAATATTATAAAGTTTAAGAAAGAATTCAAATTATTCCTTATAAAAAGGAAATACTATACAATAGAAGAGTATTTAAATGATTGTTTTTTAAAAAGTGACTAGTTTAATTTTAATTTTAATTCTTAGATTTAGTTTTTTTATTTTTATTAGCTAAGAAATGACAATGTCATCTGTTTCACCAGCTTTGCTGGAAATGTGAAATGTTTTATGACAATAAAGTGATATTATTATTATTATTATTATTATTATTAAGCAGAAAGAGTTTGGGGAGCGAGCTGGCGTAGTGGTTAGAGCGCGGGACTTCAGTCCCTGAGGTCCCGGGTTCGATCCCCGCCAAGTCACCAATGGATTTTATCTAAGTGATAATGCCGCAACCCCTAGGTCTAGCCTGAAGTAATGTGAAAAACAATCCCAGGCTCGTGCCTAGCGTCCTAAGGACAAAAAAAAAAAAGCAGAAAGAGTTTGTTAGATATTTGTCTGTCTATCTCGATGTTGTTTGCTGTCTACCATAGTCTATGAACTATGTATGGTACTAGACTATGTTTTTAACTACTCTTTGATGGTTGCAATGATAATTCAGCACTTCCATGTGAAAAGTGTAAAATATTGAAAAAAATTATATTTGGAAATTAAAAACTCCAAAAACTGTTCCAACGGCTTGATCTTGCTGGTTAGCGAACTCTTTCAAGTTCATCCCGCCCTACGGCTTCAAAGAAAATTTTTTTTATCGGACCACAACTACTTGAGTTATTGCGTTCACAGACATTTAAATATAGGTAGGAATATTTTTTTGGCCTCTGGGGACTAGATGATAAAGGAAATCTGTTCCTGGTCTAGTTCTTACCGTGCCACCTACGGTAACTGCTACTTCCCTCATGGGAAATTCGCTAAAAACTATTTTATCAGGGTAAATGTTATGAATTGAGGTTGTGAGGTTACACTGTATAGGCTAAATTGTAAGTTATCAATTTCAATACATACCCACAATAGACCCAGGGCATTTCTCACTACTGGCGACGTTGACGGCCACAGCTCCGCCCATGCTGTGTCCCATGAGCACCAATGGAGGAGTGTCTTCATTGTACACTGTGTTGATAACATTGATAACATCCCTGCACAGGTCAATAACATGGTGTCAGTCACAGGAAACACTTGTAACGGTTATATTCCTTGTCTCACGTACACCGAGTAAGCCTTAAGTTTAGTCCTTTGTGTACACTATAGTCTACTGAAGTACAAAATAGGCCTAATAGGCAAGATGGAATTATCACACGTAATTTTTTTGTGCGGATCGCTTAGGCGTTTGGCGAATTACATGTTGTAGGCCTAAATCATTAACCATAGAAACAAGTATTTCCTTTTGTTATCAATTCAAATAGGGGAATAATAGAGCTCCACTAACACTAACTGAAATAATGTTGGAATGAACATTCACTTCTCGATAAAAGAAGAAAAATGCAAACTGTATATTTCATTTTGTAGCGATAAAAATATATTTGATTTAATACTTACCCAACAAGAGTATCAATGGACAAATCACTATCGTTGGATGTGATGGTGTCTCCGTGACCTCGCAAATCTAAAGCCAGGATTCGCAAATCTGCCATTTCATAGAGTATTTTCTAAAAATAAGGGGTAATATTAACTCATAGTTGAGAATGTTACTGTATAGTTATTAACAGAGCATCAAATCATGAATGAGCTTAAATGTCATTCAGTAGAGAATGGTTACATTAAATGTTTAGAGGCTAAACTTGTTAGGTAGCATATTTGGTAGCTTATTTAACAAAAGTCAAGTCTTTAAAAAAGAATTAGCGTTTGCAATCAATTAATCAGTATTGATTGTAAACTTTCAATATTTTACCTTTCTTTACTGTGACCTACATTGGAAGCGGAATTTGACGGTCTGAGCGGAACTGACAGGGTCTGTCGGAAACAAACACATGTAGGGCTGTCTCCACGCCTACACTGGCACCGATTGTAATGTCAGGTAGGAGGCACAGGTCTGAGCTTGACGGAAACAAATCAAAATAGTTTGTTTTTTCACACGGTCAGATCAGACCCAGTCGCTTCAAATTTCAAAACATTGACCGAGGTTGGTACAAAGTTGAGGTTATTTATTTTGTCTGTTTGTTTTTGAGATTGTGCTAAAATGTTTGACAAAGGAAAGTTGATCAAATTAGTGCTTGAGAAAGTGGCTTTGTGGAACCAGAAAGACAAATACTACCACAACCTAAATTGCTGTCCAATAACAATAAATCAAAAAGTTCCTCATCCATTTTTCGAAGTGGAAACAATAGGCCCCTAATAAAAAAACTAAACAACAAAAACTAGGGTAAAGCTGCCAAAAAAACACAAAATTATAAACAAACTTAATAAACAAAAAAGTTTAATAATAAAAAATTAAGTTTAAGGTAAGACAGTACTCAAATATGATATTTTTTTTAATTTTTTTATTATTTAGTTTTGTAGAACAGACTTTTTTGAACACGTACCCTAGATAATAAATATTAAGGAAGAAAAAAATTATTTTTAAAATTTTCAGTTACTTTTATTAACTCTTGCGCAGCCTAATTTAGCATGGTCCTACTACTACCTGTGACAGGGGGCACTTTTGTCTTTTCCGAAAGTCAAGTGGTTTTTAGTCAGGTACACTTTTCATCCTCAATTATAATCCAATTTCAATAACAATTTGTGTGTGTGTCCCTCTTATGATAAGAAACAATAATACGAATCAGTTTCCATGACAACCAAAAATCTTAGAAATAATAAAAAAATATTTTATGATAAAAAATTACAAAACGTTTTATAATTTTTTTAAATCCTACTAACAATTTAATTTAGCTCAAAAACTTTTTTTACTTCATATTATTGTTGGTAATAATGTATTAAACTTAGTAAAAAAATTTCAAGTTGATAGGTTAATATTTGTAAAAGTTATGTGTAGGCTACCTAAAAACTGCCATTTTAACATGGGCGGGATAAGGAGTACTGTGTCACCTTAAAAACTTTAATAACATCAAAAATGCTTGCTATTAACTCTGCTCGTTGTGTGCACTGTGACTGTGGAGTGTCTGTGAGTAAATACCGTGAGATTGGCTGCGCAATGTAGGAGCGTCCACCCGGCTTCCTGTCTGAAGAGTCGAATCTGGTCTGGTCTGATTGGGTGATCAGAAAAAAATCTGCTTCCAATGTAGGTCACACCTTACATCTCTGTCAACTAGCCTTGTAATATGCTGAGGCAGAGTTTTTAAAACTGAGAAGAAAATTGTTTAGTTAGGATACATCAAGGGCAGACTTAAAATATTAAATGATAAGGGTGGTTTTTTAGATCTGATGACTTAATTACATAGGCCTATCCTAAGCTTATTTTATGTAAAAGGTGGTTTTTCCTCCTTAAAAATACCACAGGTATATGACAAAAATCAGGGTTCTTATCTAGGTTTGCAATAAGAAGTGAGTAAGAGGGGTAGGGGCCTAATAAGATCAAGGAGATATTCTAAATCACACTTGTGTCAAAGGTGACTTGTAAGTTAATCGAGATCCCTAAGAGGGTCAAACAAGTTAAGTTTAAATTATTTTCCACGCTCTGTGTGTTTAATACCTAGGCCTAAGGAAGAAAGTCGTTCTCTAGGCCAAACTAAAGAGGGTTAAAATCCTGACATTCTAAGATTCAAATTTTAAAAAGCTAAGTTTAACCCTCCAAGTGTCCATAGTTTAGGCCTTAATGTCCACCTATTTTTGGCGCATTTGCAAGGTTTTATTAAAACGGATCTGAGAAGCTTAAAACAATGTTAATTCTAATGTTCTATATACCATTTTGTTTGGAAAATCATGGGCTTCAATATTATATATAAAACATAAGGAACATTTAAAAAAAAAAAATTTAGGTAAAAAAATATAATTTCGAAAATTTTCAAAAAAAAAAATAAGTTCGCGCTCAATGAAATTGTATAAATTATAGGCCTATAAATATTTGAAAATAGCCACTTTGTTCTAAATTTTATGAGGATTACAAATATATAATAATATAAGGAAGTAGATTTGCAAATAAATAAGTTATGGGCAAAAAACTGATTTCAGTACATAGCGTTTAGCTAAGAATGCATAGCCTAACCATAGCTAGGAATCTGGCTGATAATTTACATCAATATCACTACCTACTTCTTCAGGATCATCAACCAGCACTTCAAAACCACTTAAATCTTCTTATAATGCACCACGTATATCACTACTTTTGATTTTTAACACTAAAACAATGATAAACGTAATAAAACACATCAGTCATCGGTCCGGGGGAACCTAGCTGTTTACAAATACACGCACGTCAGCTGTCTGCTACAATATTTTCGGAACTAAAATGAATAGCGCTTAGAGACAGACCTCTGGAGAAAGCTTAGAATATTACGGAAAGAACGATACCTAACTCGATCCAGTTCAATCCGATTCAGTCAGTCATAGAGCCTTCGCCGTAAACGATGTCTGCGTGTCGAAAAATCGACAAGTAACACTACACAAAGTGTGCTGCTTGTCGAATTTTCGTCAAGTAACACTGGGAGGGTTAAGATATATAAGCCAAGTACAGATTGATTAACTTATTACCGACAAGACGGCCCAAGTTAGGGCAGAGAATCCTCCCCCATGCAGCAAGACTACTACAGGACCTTCTTCTCCAATTGTGTAAATGCGGAAACTATCAGTCCCAACTATGACATCTCTACGTTCTTGAAAGTATTTATTCCACTCTACAGGAGTATAATCTTCGTTGTCACGGGACTTGTGCCTGAAAAGATCAATGAAGTATGATAACCTAGTTGGCTACAGTGGCGGTTCCAAGGGGGGGGCTACAAGGGCTAAAGCCTTCCTCGGACCCTGAAAAAATAAATTTAAACATACATTTCGTCTTTAACACATGCAATGTAGAACAGACATCAATTTAGTTTTTAATAACACTAATACCGAAACCCCACCTGGGCTGACGTTAACCGAAACCCCAGGTCTGTGAGACCCCATTTGAAAAATAATGGACCCCACTTAGAAACACACAAACCGAAACCCTCGGTCTGTGAGACCCCGCTTTAAAATACACTAACGCTGGGCTTCTGAGACGGACATGTTATGAACAGACGACCTGTCAAGGTCACGGCACCCATGCAAAATGAACAAATGATATATCAATAGGTAGGGGAGTCACGCATATACAATCTTAGGCTATTATTGGATGAAATAATATTTTGATACGTAGGCCCTGTGCTTGTATATTTTGTAAAAAAATTAGGTGCTAGATCTGTAACCAATCAGGAATTGTGACCCCCCCCCCTTCCCAAAAACAACCCTAAACAGGTTGTTTGTTTTTTCAATGAATGAAGTCAAACTATAGGCCTACTAACTTATAACTGGGCAAAGTATCTATAATTATTTAAGATAGATAGGCTAGATATAAAGGTCTTAATAAATGAATTTCTAATGTATTCTAGCATAGCCTTAAGTAGGCATTTCCTAACCTTCCAAAAGATGACCGTCTTCCCCTTTGACCAGTTGCCCTAGGAGGAAACTTTGATGTCAACATAGCCTTCTGTAAAGATGACATAGCCTAGCCTGTATTTCTGATGATAGCCGTGTATTCCCAAACCAATAACAAATAAACTTAAATGATCAGAAATCTAAATATTATTGATCACAAAGTTTGACACAAGAACACAATAGACTTATAACACAAGTCACAAATAACAACAAACAAAAACATTCATTAGTCTAATCCAATCCTAATCCCTATCCCTAATCGCATAAGAAAGGAAAGCAGCTAACAGTTCTTCTTCTTCTAATTTGAGTCTGAAAGTGAGTCTGAGTTATGAGTTAACGAAGTGAAGCGAAAGCGAACGAACATGCACGGCCGCCTGTAACCACAGCCACCTCTAATACATGTATTAGATGTAGTACATGTATTGGGTGGGTTCCATAATATCGACAACCGTAGAAATTGATCGAAACTGAATTATTCCCAGTTTGTCGACACTGGAACATTCCCACTTAACCGACATCCCAAATAACCGACGTCGCAAATGATCGACACCACAAATTGTCGACATCCCATATTGTCGACAATGAAATAGTTTCACTATGTCGACACTGAAATAGTCCCAGTATATCGACAAGCTCCCGTTCTTCGGAGCTACTCTTGAAAAGGAGTTGTTCTAATTCATCGTTCAGTTCCTCAACTCACGAGTCGCAATAATATTTGATTCCGAATTCCGACGGACATCTTCAAGCTGGCCATTTATTGAGTAAGACTAAACACTTTTGTAGCCTATATTGTAAATATTTATCTTTTTTATTTCTTTACTTTTTTACAAGAAAATAGATGACTCGAGTGTTATAAACAATAGTTTTCAAGGAATAATGTGAAATAAGTTAATTTTTATAGGATAAAAAACTTAATCAACATGATAACTTCTTAACATTAGTCCTACCAGACACTAACTTAGGTAAGTCACCAACAAGAACCTAAGATACAGCTTATTCGTAGGCTAATTCTGGATCATCAAACAATATTGTAGCAAATGTTTGAATAGGCATTATCCCTAGGCTATTAGGATAGTCTCTTTTTCCCACTGACCCAGTGTCAACTTTAAGATGTAACAAAACTTGCTGATGGCAAAAAAATCGCATGAAGGTTAACTAATCGAATCGATAGTTTCAATCTATATTAGCATAGCCCAGTTAAGAAACTGTACCCGTATTTTGAATATTTCATTCCTTTAGTTAGGTTAGGTTTTACCCTAACTAACCAAACTTAATATTAGGCCTAGGGGCTTTACTTTACGTCCTACACTCATTCAAATGAAAATATCGATCGATATATCGATTAATCGTTTGTATCATTCGATATATGGTTTGGTAAGTTAAGGTTAACCTAACGTAGGCATAACTAACGAAACGGTATATCGAATGAAACAATCGAACAATCGATAGTTTCATTCGAATGAGTGTAGGACGTAAAGTAAAGTGCAGCCGGCCTAGGCCTAAGTTTATCAAATGAAATAATCAATATGACTGGGACGGGTGGCGCTGTCCTGTAATCCAGCTACTAGGAGGTCACGAATTGTGGATATTTATAGGCATGCACTGTGGATTCGACACTCCCTGGTGTGGATGAACGTCCACACGAGTGAATACTTACTACGACTCTCCCCAGTACTATCCTGATAATTAGACCAATTCGTATAGTAGGCCTATACCAAGGCAATAATGTGGTTCGGATTCCACTATAAACTGTATGTCCCTTAGTTGCCATTAGCTGTTTGGGCTATTAATTAACAGTTGTGTCTAAGGAATGTCGGTCTTAGTCACAAACAAGACTACAGGATCGCTCCACTCATCCTACACTCATCTCCATTCATACTTGGCTTAAAATACCTACTTTATGGTCGTCAAGTAATAAGAAAGAAAGTAGGCCTATTAAAGAAATACCTTCATTGGAATGAGTGTAGGACGTAAACTTAAGTGCTGTCAAATATTCTAGAGCTGACTTGGGTTATATCATTCATTGCTGATGACTTCAATGTTAATTTTATAGATGATCCTGGAGCAAAGGCTGTAATTTGACCTGAACCCAAATTGGTCTTTATTTTAAATATTGTAAGTTAAGAGGACTGACCTTTCTGGACGACATTGCTATCGACATCACTGCAGATGAGAGAGAGACCAGAGTTGTGTACCCTGGAGGCAATTGCCATACTGCTGTGATAATGTTCCTTGGTCTAACCATCTTAAGTGAGGTGAGTCAATATTCTTCCCCTTTTGGGATAGATTCTAGGCTATGTTTGAAGTTATTCAATGTTCAAAGCGGTACTGTGGCAAGTATTATCCGGAGGCTACAGATATACAGATATACAGATGTTCAACTCATCGAGTCTTCGAGCAACAAGTGCAAAGCAGCGTGGTCACTCATCAGAGGAAGCGTTCGTAAACCAGATACCAGCCCCTCCCATAGTATTTCTCCGGATGACTTCAACAACTTCTTCATCTCTTCAGTGGAACGGACGGCGACCTCGGTGTCGGCATCAGCAGCAGCATCCAGCAGACTCGTGGGGAATAGGCCTGCCCCTCCAGCTTCATTTGTGTTCAGTGAAGTTTCATGTGATGATGTCTTCCATGTTGTGCAAAGGATGAAACCTTCTACGAGTGTCGATGCTTATGGTATGTCATCTCACCTACTTAAGATAATATTAGCACATATCTTGTTACCACTCACTGATTGTATCAACTACTGTCTGCTTTCTGGCATCTTTCCTCCAAATTTAAAGCTTTCAAAAGTTGTCCCCGTTTATAAGAAGGGCCCGAGGGACAGTCCTGGTAGTCACCGCCCTATATCTCTGGTTTCTGTTGTGGGAAAAGTGCTGGAGTCAGTTGTCAAAGTGCAATTAATGAATTATTTAGAATCGTTTGGGTTACTTTCAAATTGGCAATTTGGGTTTAGAGCCGGCAGATGCGCCACGGATGCCATTAGGTGTCTAGTACAGTCTGTCTTAAACTCATTTGAAGGAGGAGCCCTTACTCAGGCGACCTTAGTTGACTTGAGTAAGGCATTTGATTGTGTTCCACACTCCTTGCTCTTTAACAAGCTTGACTACTACGGTATTCGTGGCGCAGAGCTGGAATTTTTCAGGTCATATATGTCAGAGCGCAGACAGTTTGTTGAGATTGGAGGGATGAAGTCCTCTGTGAGGAATGTCACCTCAGGAGTTCCTCAGGGCTCGGTCATGGGACCTGTGCTCTTCCTAATAATGATAAATGATCTGGACGATAACTTGAGCTGTAGATCCCTGATGTATGCTGATGATTCAACTTTCATAACTAGTCATTGTAGTATAAAGGAACTCACTCAATTATCTTCATTAGTTTTGAATGACGCAAAGCACTGGTTTAATGTAAATGGGTTTAACATGAACTCAGACAAAACACAGTCAATTGTTTTTAGGCTAGGTGCAATTCCCAACAATGAGAAACCAATGTCTGTAAGTGTAAACCTTTTAGGAATAGATCTAGATTGTGGTTTAACTTGGGAGAATCACATAAAAAGTGTCAGTCGTAAGTTGTCCAGAGTATTGTTTCTGATTAGGAGGCTAAGAGATTTTGTACCACCGCAGTATGTAAGATGTGCCTATTTTGCATATTTTCAAAGCCATTTGCTGTATGGAATATTGCTGTGGGGAAATTCAACTCATATTAATAGTGTATTAAAGATTCAGAAGAAGGCAATTAGGCTTTTAACTAACTCTAGGCGGCATGCACATTGTAAACCTCTTTTTAGGTCAAAACAAATCCTTACAGTTGTAAATCTGTACATACTTGAATGTGTAATGTTTGTAATGAGCAACCCAAATCTGTTTGCACAAAGAGGTGTTTTTCATACTCATCTGACAAGAGGCAGGATGGCACTTGATAGGCCCTATACTAGATTAGCAACTGTTCAGAGGAGTTTCTGCAGTGTATCTATTAAAATTGTAAACGCCCTTCCTAACACCTGGCTAGGCCTATCAAGCAAACAAATCAAACACAAGTTGTTAGAATGGCTTATGGACCATCCCTGTTATGACTTGAATGAGTTTTTTGTAGAAAGTGCCAACATGATATTCTAGTCATTATATTTATTCTGACTGTCATTATATTTATTTAGTATTAATCTTATAACTCTATGCATGTTTTTTTCTATCTATTTAACTGTACAGATATTTATTTATTGTAGCGTCTGTGATATGATAGCCTTTCTATTTTGTATGCTAAAATGTGACTGTGATAATGTATCGCTATTGTTTTATATATGTGTCTCTGACGAGGTCTATTGTAATCAATGATTATTTAATGACCAATAAATTACTTGATTACTTGATTACTTGATTGATTACTTGATTACAGCGCTTTGTGGCGGTTATGTTAGGTTGGGTTATCATAAATCGAAAGAACATTTTTATGTCCTAGGCCTACTGTCCATATTTGGGTTTATTCTTAACTGTACAATAGGCTATCTTTTGTTTAAATTTTTTGCTTTTATAAATTTATTTTATGGACAGAATTTAACCTTCATTCAATTTTTTCAATTATCAGCAAGTTTGGTTTGTTAGGTTGGGTTATGACAGTAGCTGCCGGATGCCTAATCCACGTCCGGTTACCGGGCCCGTATCCTCTGCGTAGTTTTTTATGTACTGAATCCAAATAGACCACTATTTTTCACTGCAGATGAATATTACGGAAACGGAATAAATCGCCGCTCAAAATGTTTGAATAGTCAAGGTAGGGTGGATGACATTAACAAGTGGAATGAACTGTGGGTGAAGTAACTTAAGCCTACACCTGATTGTTTTCAACACCAAGCAATTGGAAGTGACAACTTTATTTACTAAATATGATTCTGTCTTCGCTCATAGGCCTATTGACGTCACATCGATTGGCCCCGATTAATATTATTATTACTATTATTGGCCCCGACTGATCATATTTCTCAGCGTTCCAATGCTCTAAGTCATAGCCTCCTCTACGTATTTTATAGGCCTGCCTAATGCCTACATTTGACTAAATTCTTTACCCTAGGGGAGCGAGCAGAACTTCAGTACCGGGCTGGGGCTCAAATTCTGCCAGATGACCAATGTATTTCATTATTTATTTTAATATTATTTTTTGTCCGAATACCACAGCCCTAGACCTAGGCTGAAGTGTGAAATGTGAATTAAAATTCCGGACTAGTGCCTGTAGCGTCCTAGGACAAAAAAAATGTGTGTATAC